TATACAACAAACTCAAATAGAGGGGAAAAACTGAAAAACCTTAAAGAATAGAATAATGAAAGGAAGCAGTCAAAGTAGCGTGAGTTAGCAGCAGCAGCATGACTATTGGAAGAGGATGAGCCTAAAATTGAAGCCACGACTGGACGACATTTTTCATACTTCTGAGCTTCTCTGATTTCCACTGGTTTATCCACTAAAATGTTCCACATTTCATTTCCTGACTCATTTATAAAAGTGTCAAACAAAAGAGAAACAAATGATCCAAGTTGTAGCTGAATCTTAACCCCTACCTGATTTTTACATTTTATGGAAACGATGAGCCTCCATTAACATCATAAGGAAGCATAGATATATCCCTCACTGTGGCCAAACTCACACACACACACGCACTCACACACACACACAGACACACACAGATCTAACAGCACTCATGATCAGACCGGGACCCTTGGTGACATCTTGCTCCAATTTGAGGGAGGCTGTGTGATTGGCCAGCTCTGTCAGATCAGAACCAGCGCAGAAATTCCCTCCTGGAGGAGACCACAAAATTACAAAGTAAAGCAGTTGGAAAGTCAGAGAGGAAGGGAAAATGATGAGGATGTAAAAAACAACAAGTTGAGCTGGAGTCTGAGGGCTGCAATTTGGACAGAAGCTTGCTTTGGGCTGGCTGCAGCTTCTCTTCCCTTAAAGAGCCTAAATCCAATGTACCGTCACACATCATCATGCATGTGCAGATCACACATGCACATGCACAGTAATCTCATTAATGGAAGACTAACATACTCCGACCACAGCCCCTTCCGTTGAATTCATGTGGTAATTACAACATTTCCCAAGAACCCAACAAACACTATGTCACAGGCTCAGGCGGGGACTCATAAAATCCTCCTCCCTCTGTAATGAAGCAGGAATTGAATTAAAATGAAATTATTTTAATGAAAACATGTGCCAGCAACACCCATCAGCTGGGAGCTTTGATTACAGCTGTGAATAGTGAAGGGCACTTGTAGAAAAACAGTGTGTCATGCTGTTTATCAGCAAAACTCCCTATGTCGTTAGGAAGAAGAGAAGAAGCTATGAAGAGCTGGTTCAACCCTGCAGGATCTTAAAGCATGTTTTGTTTTCAGTCGTGAACTCCGGAAAATATCCTCAAAGTGCGATCAGGAGAATGCAGTGGGACACTGTCCAACAGACAAATACAGGACAGTGTCCAGAACATTCAGGTGCGGGACAGTGCCTGCAGAACGCAGAACACAATGTATCACATGTCTTTGTTTACAGCACATCGACAGAGACATCGGCCCCCATCACCAAAAGCTCAAATCTCGTGTTTCCAATATGACATCATCTTTTACGTGTATGGCACTTCGTCAACACGCCCCCTCGCTCGCTGGGGATTTTCCAGACATTTTCGTGCTGTGTTTCTACACATTGTACTGGGGATCTGGTCGGATGAGTTCTGTAAAATGTCAGGAACAACTGACTCAGACATTTGCGTTCTCACATACGGCCCCTCTAGAAAATGTCATGGAAATGTCTGGAATTCATGTCTGAAAGCAGCTTGAGAGGGATCAAGATGTCTTATCTTATAATATTTGAGGGTTTTAATATTTTACACTTTATGTTATCTGTTCAATAGTAACTCAGCTCATGGCAGTTACTGTAGTTCCCACAAGGTGTAAGGTGATGCTTCGTGTCGGCAAGTTGCCCCTGCAGACATGATCAGCAGACCCTGTTTACGAACGCACCTGCCCCTCATTCCTTGATTAGGGTAGCGATGGTGGAAGAGAACTCATGAGAGGACGTTTTCTTACAGACCCTGGAAACAGAGACAAAGACACATACCTGTGAGTTCTATGATGACGATGATAGAAACATACCTGTGAGTTCTGTGATGATGATAGAAACTTGTCTGTTCTAATGTGACGATGATAGAATCTTGTGAGTTCTACATTGATGATGAGGAAGATGAGGGAAACGTTAAACATTCCTCGGTGAGTGCATTGAGGTTCATTTAGGATCAATTGTTTACTTAAAGAGCTGTGGGGTGAGTTGTCCTTTAAATGAATCTATTAAATTCTTTTCATTGTAACTGGATGTACTGTCACATGTAAGAGCTGCGTCCAGCCCTGGACAGTTAGTATTGTATTTGTGTTGTTTCTGACTTCCTTTTGGTGTTGTGACTTAAAATACCTCACTTAATTTAGCTAGTGGTCATTTTATTAAAATGACCTGAGATGTGTTTTTATTGTTCACTGGTTCCAGCTTTTAATGGTTATTTAATTCCTTGTTGGAATCTTTTTGTGGGTTTTTATTGTATGTTTTCTTCAGTGTATGTTTGTATCTTTATAGTTTAGGATTTTTCACTGTGCTACAGTGTGTGGATGATTTTAATGAGCAGTTAAATAAAGAGGTCGTGAAGCATCAGTCTGGAACAATATGCATCTTCTTAACCAAACCAAGGGCTGTTACACATACTATACAAGAAACCTTTTGTTAAAAATGTTCTACTCCTGCTGCTACAGGCTCTTCTCCCTCGAGTCATGTTAATAATTTTACTAAAACCACATCAGCTTTTATTCCAGCTAATATCACTGCTTAAAGAAAGACTATGTAACGCGTGCTGTGCTACGGCAACAGCGGCCTCTGCAGGCACAAGAGGTAATTAAAGACAGACTGAAAACAATTTTACCTCAAAAAATTGATGTGTCCCTGCAGTCACTGTTTTCCACAGCTGGCTGACAGGATAACTTTTTGCTCCTAAAGCCATCTTGGTTGACTCCTGGTGGTTTGCTGCAGTATGTTTGCTTAGAGTACATGTACTTTCACTCTTCAATATTTTTTCTGTTTTATGTAAAATGGGAGGTTTTGGAGATCTTTATAGACAGTCTATGATTTCGACTTGAGTGTGGTGTTATTGTGCTCATCTAATGGTGTAATACTCAAATATAAGACCATGGTGTGACCTAAAAGATGATGACTGATGCTGTTTGACACACAAATATCTCAACAATGTTTAAACTAGGCTCAAACTATGTTGAGTAAGTGAAGTGCCCATGAGCAAGTCACTAAATTCTTAAAATCCATTGATAATAATTGATAAAAGTCCCAAACAGGACAGATAAATCCAAGTCTTTGTCCAACAGATCCTTCGCTGTCTCCTTGTACGCTGCATAACACAACTCTGGATGCTTTATCACCACGGTAACCACAGTCCCCCTTCGCCCTGAGACCACAGTCTGACCTGCAGCTAATGACGGAGAATGAGAAAGATGCACAGACAGAAACCAATATGGACCACAACTCTCAGAGAGGCTGACCCAGAGACACGAGGTTAAAACCTCACAGTGGGAGAGACAGAGGTGGAATGTGACTCGTCTTATGTGGGTGGAAGAAAAGAGACAATTAGACAGTGAGAGAAAAGGTGTGGGTTAAGGGTGAAGGGCCTGTGAGTGTTTGAGTGTGCCTGTGGTTGTGGCAGTTGACCCTGACATTGTTCAGAGACGTCTCAGGGAATCCAGCTGTCGGCTGCAGCCAGAAGCGACCGCATCCAAGATAGAAGAGCGTTGAAAACACATTTGGTGGACGCAATCTCACTCACAGGCTGTTCTGAGGTGAAGGGAGGCTGCAGGGTTACACAGATTAAACATCAGAATCACAGGAACTGCAATTCCGTCTGAGAGGGTTTCATTTAAGTACATTTACAATCCCAAATTTTAAATGTAAAACAAAATAAGCCCACTTATAATTAGTCAATTGGAAATAAAGTATATTCAGATATGACTACATCAGAGATAAAGCAATAAAGCCTAAATCAAGCATTCCCAAAGCCAAAATAAAACAAACTTAAATAAATGCAAATCAAACATTCCCCAAGAGGAATAAAAGTGATAAAGAGACAGCATCACATAAAAGCTGTAAATACAAATAAAAGGAACAATAAAATGGAAAGGACAATGTAACATAAAACCAACTAAATGCAAATAACAGCAATAAAACAAAATGATAAAAGCTTTAAATGTCTGAAATATTCTGCCTGTTCTCCTCAGGCTGTATCTCCTCTCTTCCTTGATCCAAACATTTTCTGGTTTCAGCTCAAAGAATATGAAGATTAAATTCTTTCTTAATCTGTAATTGTAAAATGTAATCTCAGTTTTAGACTGTTGGCAGAACAAACTCATTTAAAAAAGGTTGATTTACATGCTCTGACATGTGAGGTGAATTCCGTGCTATTTTCTTGATATTTATGAAAACTAAATCAGTAATAAAAGTTCAGTTTATAAAAAATAGTAATGTCTGTTTATAATTTAGGTTTACTACTTTCATGGCCTTGTTATTGTGCATATAAACTTAAACTCATTTACTATCAAACTGTTTTCAAAGGTCTAACCAGTGTCATGTTACTCATATTATGAGTGAAACTTATTGTAAAAAGCTGTTTATCTTTACACGTTGTAAATGTTTAATGTCTATTTTATGCAGTGTTGACTCTTGATGTTCTCTGTGATATTTAGTTGATACTGGCTGACGGTATGACAGCCTCTACTGCCTCCTATAGACATTACTGCGCCTCTACCCTTATGATATTGGTTATCCTTTGACTGCTTGTCACTTTCCTCTCAAATAATTATTTTACTCTTTGGTTTTTTATATTATTTTACCTCATGTGTTTTTATTCTAATCTATTTTAACTCATATCATGTTAAACCATGTCATGTATTTGTTGTTTATCTATGCTTTTTATCTTGCGTCTAAATAAACTTTACTTGACTTAATCTGTTTCACTGTTTTGGGATTTAATTGCAACCAAAATAACCACAGCAAAGCTAAACTTCCAAAATTAAATAAAAACAATTTACAATATTCTGTGATAAGTGCACTGCAGTGGCAAGCACTGCAAACATACAGCAGAGGGCGACGTTTAGCTGCGTTGACTCCCTGGTTTCCCTCTGCAAGGCAACGTGACTTTAATGTCTTAAATAATAAAAGCAGACTCCACATCAGATGTTCTTACTTTTTTTTAATAAAAGATTTCTCTTTTGTGTTTTTACACATTTTAAGGCATCATGCACAAAAAATAAGCCATACTAAAGGCATTATGCACAACTGCTACCAAAAAACCCTATGATCTAACATTTGGAGATTTGCAGTTAAAAATGTTTGTACAAATATGGCATGTAAGCTGGCATGTCAGTGAATCTCAAAGCAGAGCGTCACCTGCTTTCACAGTTTTTGTAAACATGGCTTTGAGCAAAATAGGGCTGAGGAAAAAAAAACGAGATAAAGGGAAAGCATGCTTCAAAGTGGGGCTAAATTTCCCTGATAAGCATGCAATGCATCTGAAATCATATTTACAATGCATCATTTTACCCTCAACAGTTATATTTTTCATCAATTAAAGTTAAGACATTAAAAGGTTTGTTGACAATAACAGTTAGACTGACGAGAAAGACAGATGTGTCCATAATGTTTCCCCCAACCGAGTCCGCAGCACCGACATCGTTCAGGTAGGTGAACGAACAAAACACTACAAGATTTTTTTTTAAGTTTTAGATTCACAGACAAATCTTGTCACCAGGAGGGTTATAAAAAAGGCATTTTTAAAAGAAATTAGCGTACCTCTGTTTTATTGTGATAGTTTTCATGGTTCCCACACATTTCTTAACATCACATTCAACAGCTTTTCAGGCCCAATTCCCTGAAATTAAAGGACTCAACATGGCAGTTTGAGTTCAAGGGAAATAAAGGTATTCATAACGAGAACTAGCAGATCACAGACACTCATGTAAAAGAGAGTTTAAGTGTCGAGGAGCCGTGAGACGGTGGGAGACACACATACAGAGTGCCAAATATCCTGTTTACTTACAGAAACAAAAGAAATTCAAAATAATTTCTGTAATTGCACCAAATATATTATTCAAGGCCTTTTTTCCCCCTGGTAACTTAAAGGGTTTTTTTGTGTAAAACAGCCCAACTAGGCTGAAAATCAGGTTTTGAAAAAAATCTTGTAGTGTCCAGCATGGCAGACATTCGGAAGGTGCCGGGAGCTTTGGCACAGTTGTGTCCAGTTGTGCTCTTCTGTGGTGCTCAGTGTGCGTTATACTATATTGAAGACCATGGATAGATACTGTTCATATGAAACCTGGATCCAGCCGTCTTGGTCTGTATCGTACCGCCTGAACACGTCAGTCAACCTCTGTGGAAAGACGGGACAAGAATCAAAAAATGTAACTTTTAGAATATTACAACACCAAACTGCTCTACACTCTCAAATTTGACATCAGCATATCGCCTGGATTTAATAGCATTGTTACAGTAAACGATAATTGGTTCGAAAAAGTGCTTTTCTTTATTCTTTTTCCTTCTGGAGACGTAATTATAATCGATTAAATTTGGCTCATTCAAATCTAGCTCTACTTCCTCTGAAAAGCATCCTAATCATCTCTTCAGAAAGTATTAAGACACATTTGTGTTTTTGCAAACTAAAATCTATTGCTTATAGAATTACTCAGACCCTTTGCTGTGAGACTCTTATTTGTAGTCAGTTGCATCATCTTTCTTTTTTATCATCTTTGAGATGTGTCTTAATGTATTTGTATCCCCATGCAGCAAACTTTGGACATAGTTTAGAAAGTCATATAATTATGAGTATATGTAAGGCCAGTGCATGTCAGAACAAAACCAACCAAAGTCCAGGCATAGATCAAGACAAGGTGATGATTTCTAAATGATGGAACAACCTGCCACAAGGACAACCACCTCCACTCATCAGGCCTTTCTGGTCGAGTAGCTAGACTGAAGTCACTTTGTGTAAAAGGGACATGACAGCCTGTTTACCAGACAGCATTAAACGAACTGAGACAAGGACAAAGATTCTCTTCTCTGCTCTAATGAGACAAATATTGAAGCCGTTGGGCAGAAACACCAGACACGGCTCATCACCTGGTTAGTACCATCCCTGTGGTAAAGCAGTGAAGGCAGCATGTGAAGAAGACCTGCTCTGAGGGTCACAGTTCACCATGCAGCAGGACAATGATACATTCATACAGCCAGGACAATGCTGAACCTGACGGTGCTTTTGTGGCTGAGCCAAAGCCCCATTGAACATCCATAGATCGAGACTTGAACTTGACAGTTCACAGATGCTTTCCATTAAATATGACAGCTTGAGAGGGTCTGCCAGGAAAAATAGAATTAACTACCCAAATCCATGAGTGCAAACCTTACTGAGGCGTTCCCGAGAAGATTCAAAGCTTCAAGTGCTGCCACAGAGCTTCTACAAAGTGAATTAATAGCCTTTACTTTAGCGAATACGATACATTTGCAACAATTTCCAAAAATGCTTGTCACTGTGGGTGTTTATGTGCAGATTGATGGGCAAAAGGGGTAATACTTGAAAGCTATTTCAGCATGCCTTGCTCTCTGCAACCATAGACACCCTCCCAGTTTTGTGGTCTAATTAAGATGCAAAGATTTCCCATTTTTCCATTATTTGAATGTAATCATATCTGGGGAAGTGATGAAGTCAGAGCCTAGACTCAAGACTGCAATAAACATTTTGAACAAGAGTTGTCTGACTGTGATATGGCTGTTTATAACCATTTGCAACTAACAGAGTGGGGAAAAAAGAGGTTTGCGGCGAGTGGGTGCTCATACTCACTGTGACTGATTAATGCGGAAAAAAACCTTTTAAATCATTACATACATAGTTTATTTTAATTGAGTGTAAATGTGGCACCTGTAGTACAATGCAGCACTGGATGAAGTCATCGAAGGCCACCTGTCCCTTCCTCTGGCGGTCGAACTTCTCTATCAACGTGCTGTAGAACTGGTCTGATAGACGATAACCTGCACATCACAACAAATATGATGTTTTAAACATTTCAGACATTGGAAACATTCTGTCTAATCATGTGTGTACTGTGTAAATCTTGATTACAATTTCCATGAGACAATGCTCACATTTTGGTCATCAGTAAGTGCTCAGTACTTTAGATGCAAGCTTGGAGTTGCTTGTCAAATATAATTAAAAGGATTTGTTTAAGTAAAGCTTTAGCAGTGTATTTACTGCACAATAAAGTACAAAGTAGATAGAGTGTACTAATGGCATGCTGGTCTATACAAACAAACAGAGGAATTGAAAAGACAGAATCTGACCTTCTTACTCAGAGAAATGAAGTCATTTAAACAGCCACGCAGCCCACCACCACAGCGATTAAATGTAATTATATACAAGCATACTTTGCTTCTCACCAAATCCAGTCAGTGCCTGTTTAAGCTCGTTCTTATCAATGAAGCCAGAGTTGTCCCTGTCGTAGTTCCTGAAGATGTTCTGCCAGTCCGTGATGTACTTCCACACGCCAGCAAACTCGTTGAAGTTCACCCCTCCTTTATTTTCCCTATCGAACATGGCTGAAGGAAAAGGGGGAGATGTTTGAGAATGTATTATTCACTTGATGTCTCTCTCTCTCACACACACACACACACGTTTACTTACACGTCAAGAAGTGATGGATGGAATCTTATGTTATGAAAGCAATCATGCTACTACAAATAGTTCAAGGAGGGAATTGACTACACTTGACTAACTCCTGTTTCATAAGAAACACCATAAGAGAGGGAGAAAACAGTTTGATCCCCCTCAACTTTAATCCACTTCTCACCCCCATGTGGTTCAATCCAATTACCTCCATACAAAGGGAGTGCTATCACAGGATATGCTTCTTGCGAGGGGGGGGGGCCTTTAAACAAATTATTTACTGAGTATGGCACTGACTGTGTGAACAGGGGCAATGGAATGGGATTTAGTCTGCAAGTCACAACAAAAATATACCAGGTTTTATACGTTATGCTACGTTATATTATATTAAGAAACAAAAGTATATTAAAGACCAGAGCAAAGATATTAGTAGGTGATTTTATTTAAGCTGGAAAAACTAAATGTGCAATGGGTTTGCAGTTAAGGTAATATGTAAAAAGCCAAATTCTTTCTAAAACGGAACTACACTGTATAAGACATATTTAACATCAAATGTAACAGGTCAATATTTGGCCACTGACAGCTTACGAGACAAACTTTCCCACTTCCTTCTTGGTGCTCTCTCGTCCTCCCTTTAGTGATGGCTGCAGGTTTCCACTAGAGCAACACTGAGGCCTTTGTTTGAGCCTTCGGTTTTCTCAAAACGTAACTCATTTATCCCGTTGTCATGGAGAGGGAACAAATAAACAAGTGTCAATCTGAGAATTTACTTACATATGATGGAGCGGACCGTCACTGGGTTGAAAGGAGTCCATGTGCCTGCAGACAGAAAAATACCAGTCATACCAATGCAGTGTGGGTTGTTTTGGTATTTGAGAACTAGAATTATCACACTGAGGTTGTATGCCTCCACAACAGTGCAGTTTCATTCTACATACACTTCTTTATCCTGACTCATACGAGGTCACCATGACTTTTATTTTGAAATGTAATCTGTTTATCTTTTGAATGAATTAGATTCAATTAGATTCCAAAAGGCAGACTTGAGTTTTCTTTAGGCTCCTGCGACTTTGCCCTTTTACCACCTAAATCTAATCAGTTGATCAATGTTTCTACCAAATTTGAAAGGAATCCCTGGAGGGGTTTGTATGAAGAAGAATGGGACGTACAGACGGATAGACAACCCAAAAACATAATGCCTTAAACAATCGAAGCTTAAATTTGACACCATCTCCAGTAAATAGTCAGTTTTCTTATCATCGTGACTTAGTCACCTGGTTTCTTAGGATAATTACTCTCTATATCTATTTTGAGCCTGGATCTCATCATAATAATTAAGGCAGACAATTTTTTTAGCCCTGGATTATTCACTTCATTATCTTGGGATGAGAAAATAGCACCATGTTAATAGATATCTTCAGATTAACAATATTGGTTTTAATATTATCAGAACTCTATATTCTCTCCATTTGTACTGTGTCAGTCTGTGGGTCAACTCAAGAATGGACCCATAATCAAAACACATTTGCACAGATAGAACATTAGTAAGGAAGTGTTAACACGTCACAGCAAGAAAAACAAACATGTTGGGTTCAGGGTCCTTAAACTGTGTCTCTATTTACTAGACTGTGCACTACAGTTCATTTGAGATTCCAAATTCTGTTTTGATCAGAGGAATAGTCCTTTAGTTATAGAAACGGTTTAAAAGTAATCTGCATCATCCTAAAATAGTTTTTGAATTCCAATGGACACCAGTGCAAACAAGAACAAGAACAAACAAAAAAAGAAATACATGATCCATTTTTATCTCACATCAAAAGTCTTTCATGGAGAAGTTTTACTAAAAGGGAAGAAAAATACTTGAAGGCAGTTCTGTGACAAACCCAAGAAAAATAGCTATTTTTCATCTGCAGGAAAAACTGCTGTCATCTATATGGCCAGAAAAAGACTGATGGCTACTGAGCTGAGCAGGGTGTCTATACTTTACAGTCTTTCTTCACACACTCAGTTCTCAAGACACTGAGATCTATCAGGCCGTCTAAAGCCTTGCTGACTCACCACCTCACTTCATTACAGAGGCCCACAGTTCACGGCAAGAAACAAAGAGTAGTGACTGAGGGAGGATGCAGAGAAGGGAGGAGACGAGAGAGAAGAAATGAGGTAAAGAGCAAGAGAAGAGATAATGAACAAAGGGAACAAAAGAGAAGGGAAATAGGGAAATGAGAATCCATTGTAGCACCTTGTCGGCATAGCGTGGAGCTATTTTCAAACTCTTTTGTTCGTGACTGGTAGTTTTTCGTTTCCCTGCATAGTTTGGCTCTGCGAGCAGTGATCAGGTTAGCAATGAGATAAAACAAGATTAGATGATTCTCTTTTAAACAGTACAACTAAATAAACACGTTTATTTTATCTCAAAGAAACTCCGTACACAATCGCCACGTTTTGGGACAGAAATATGTCCCCGCAGTGCTTCAGAGTTCAGAGAGGATACTCGACAGTTCCTCCCTCTGCCTTGGTTTGTTTTATTGATGGGTGAGGCTGTCTGGGACAGTGGGTGGAGCTGTTCTGGGACCACATGCAAGCCTCTTACTGGAGACAGCATTCAGGCCAAAATCTATATCCTGATAATGCTGCTCTAAAGCAAAAAACATAGACATTCATACGCATATTGATGAGGAATCAATTAGTAGAACCCAGTCAGAGTGCTGTGTTTTTCTCTTCAGCAGTGCAGACCGATTAAAGGCTTGTCTCCCTAAGCATTTTAGAAACTGGAGAGTGGCTATGGAATTAGTTTCACAATTTATATTGTTGATTTGACAATGATTTACTAACATGAACCCTGCGAGCCAACAGGAACCATAACAAAACTAATGAGAAGTTCAACAAGAAGTTCAGCAATGCCCACATGTAAGTGAGGAATTTGAGATATGGAGACAGAAAAATGTAGTAAAACTAGTAAAACTACATGAGATGGGTTATTATCGCATGTCATGGATAATGTTAAATTCTCTCAAATACACTCAAAATATATTTTTCTCTGCTATGAATCTCAATTTTTTGCTCATGAGTAAGGCACAAAATTTACGGTCAGCTGATTTTTCTTTTCTGTACTGAGATCTGACCATCACAGATATCCCAGTAAAAATGTAACTTCAACTATTACTTCAACATGAAACTTGCTTTCTACATGTGTTTCTAGATAAATTGCAACAGGAACATGGGATTTCATCTCAATTGTGTATAAATCTGCCTTAAATCTGAAAAATGAGCAGACAGACCACTACCTAGTGTGAGGCAGTCTGTACGGTTGAGATGTTTGTGTGCGTCTGATTGCTAAATGGGACAATACAACTTCTGTCCATTCCACACACTGCGCTCTCTCAAGAGAAGGGGAAAGGGGCGATATAGGAGGCGAGGAGGGAGGCAGACGTGGAAAAACAGAGTGAACAGACTGCAATGTATACACATACATATAAAAGGTTGTAGTGGGGTTCGGTGGGATGCTTGTACAAATACACTTGACATACGCAAGCATAAATGGATGAACTTCTATACACAAACCACACAAAGGAGTTTCACAGATTTCAACCAATACACACAAACTAAATACTGTTTAAATTAAGGTTTAACCTTGAGATGTAAATGGAAAAACATACAAACTAAACATTATGGAGGGATGACTAGTTGAAAACCTTGTATCTTTGATTCCAGTTTTTAAATGTGTCCACAAACGGCACATACATCAAATGCTGCATTGTTGGCGAATAAAACCGAGTTACCAGGGATTCAAACTCATGAACCTGTTAGTAGCTGTGTTACTGACTGTGCACTGGGGCAGTTCCACAAATCTTCTCACATCTGTAGGCAATGACATTACATCTGCAAGACTAGGATTTCTTGTCTATTTACACTTAAAATGCTTAAAAATGTTTTGATAACACTGCTGACCAATGTTTGTTTGAAAACTGATGTTGTGTTTTAGTCTAGACAGTCATTTGTTTTGGTTTCAATTGCGATTTTTGGAAAAGAGCGGGACAACTTGGTATTGCTAAAGAAGAGAGTTTAAGAGGAGATGCAGATGAACAGAGAGATTCCAAGAGAATTGATCGTAAAATTGATTGTTACAGTGCCGCCTAGAGGTCAATGAGTGTTATATCTTTGGTGTGATGAGTTTTTCTTGTGCGTTTTTGCTGCCTGACACTTAACAGAGGAGAAGAATGAGAAGAGGAAGAAGCTTGGACCCCTGATAACACTGATATTCAACCAAATCATTGCTAATATGTTAAGAACTTATAAATAATCACTAGCCAATGGGTCAGCAGTCAGCAAGGTATTCTCAGTTTTTGTTTGTGGTTTATGCCAGATACTAATATGGATGGACCAGTAGGCTAGGAATCTAGTCACTCATCAACAGTGGGGGCCTCAGACAAATTATAGGGTCTATGGCAGAAGTGGCTGAGCAGAACTGGTGTTAAATAACATGAAGAAAATTATGAAATTGAGCCTTACTTACAAAACACTTCAAATGTAGGGTTGTCAAGGTAAGGATTGCTGAACAATCTCCTTAGATTAGCAGGGTTTGTAATCTGCACAGCAGGCTAGTGCTCCCTCAACCATAGTTAGGTAGTCACATTTATCAGGGGCCATTTCCAGCAAAGAGAAGAGATGCATTGCAACAGATTTACTGTAGCTCGAAGCTAATTCTGCAATTGCAGTTTCTGGGCAGGTGTCAGCAATTTTCATGGCTATTACTACTCCAACACACTTAAATAAATAACTCAAGGAGAAGTGAATTGCATGCAGTAGAGCGCATACCTCTGCCAAGTCCCAACAGTCCCTTTAAATTAAACCAAGCCTAACAAGTAAAGCCCATATTACATTTCTCAGCTACACATTGTGGTAGTTACAGGTTTCTAGCCCTATTTGTCACTGTGCAGCGGCTGGTAAAACCTATTGCCCTAATCCACTAGATCCAGATTGTTTGAATCATACATTGATACCAACTTTCAAAATGTGTCAGATTTTTAAAAAATCCAGATTCACACATAATTCTCTGCAACATCAAAGAAAATGTTTTTAAAAACGCCGTTTCTTACATTAGGAAATTAAACAATTCCTGGATCTGGCCCCTGATTTAGGTCAGCAGCAAAATTGTTTTGCATCTTTCCACCAAGTTTTGTGGCAATCCATCTGGTAGTTTTTGCATAATCCTGATAACTAACAAACAAACACAGATCAAAACATAACCTCCATGGTGGAATTAATAAATCTGTGAGCACAGAAGAGTGAGGGAGAGTTGGGTATGATATCCACCCACTGCTGAGCAGAGAGGCCAAAAAATTCTAAAAAATGGTTTGGCTACAAGGCAGAGGCACAACAAAAACATGCATATCCACTTCAGCAGCACTGAAGCAATCACGGTATTATTGGGATGATACACTGTCACAGCCAGGAATGATAGAGGGATGGAGAGAAGGAGGTAAACAAGAGAGAGAGAGAGAGAGAGAAAGGGCGAGAGCACAAGGTGGGACTGAGCGAGGGAGCATAGGCGAGAGACAAAGATAGAAAGTCACAGTGACAGGAGGCAAAACCGTCCAGATGACACAGCAGGTACTGAGCTGGTGCCAATGGATGAGAAAACATGTAATTTTGTTAGTCTGTAATTGAAAGAAGGCAAGTAATCATCTGCCAGTAGGAAGAGATATTAAGAGAAGAGATATTAATGCTGGTTGAAAGACGACAAAAAAAATGGCATCCTGACAAAGAGCATACAGCATCAGAGGAATCAAAACACTGGATAAAAGAGAAAATGGATTGGAAACCGTTGAAAAATATCTCATCCTGTGGGCAGATTTTCCGCGTGGAAAAAATTATCATACGCAATAGGGAAGAGGAGGCTGACATTGATTTTAGAAATGTGAAAAAAGAAAGATACTAATGGATGGTTGAGTACAGAATGGAGAGAACAGACACCTAACAGCCTCACCAACCAGGGCCTTCCTCCTCAGCGTCCGAGCATATGTAGGGACATTAGAGTCGCAACACACGGACAGTGGCAGGGCTGGCAGCTATAGCGAGCAAACCGCAGGACAGGATGCAGCGCAGTATGTTCAGCTCCACTGGCTCTGTGTCACATCACAGTGGGGCTAATGAACTGGTGGAGAGTGAACCAAGCAACCTGCTGTTCAGCGCAGGCACATTCACAGCATGGTGTACACAGCACATCCACGTACATCCAAACAAACAACAATGATAATTACACACATACACGCCAAGAAAATAAAATCCAACCAAAGCAAAATAAATGAACAGAATAAGACTCACTTAATAAACACATTCTACTGCACATACAAACACACACTCGCACTTATCAGTATGCTGAGCCCGTACCGCTCTGGAGCCTGATAAAAGCTTCTTCAGAGTTGCTGCTGGCTTCCACTCTTCTTGTTTCCTCTGGAGGTGCCCACAAAAACGGGTTTTTCCAAGGAGAGTAATCTGCTCAACGGTCTTTGAAAAGACGCCGTAACAATTCAGTTATAAAGCTGATGAGGAAAACCTTATATTCTAATGAGAACACAAACATTAAACTGTTATAAACCAGAGCTTTAGGTCAAACTCTGCTCTGACATATAGCATATGTCTCATCAATCATTGTCCATGTCACACTGAGAGCAAGGTCGAGACGCAGTGCTGGTGCAGTATTGTGTGGGGGCACGAATACATTTTACCAGCCTGCTCCCTTGTGGAAGCTCCTCAAGAGGAGACGACCTGTGACACTGATTCAACACTACCCATCAAACTCTCTAGGAAAATCTAATATTTTCTAGTTCAGGAAACCCACTGGGAACTGAACTCTTAATCCTGTTTGAAACCCTCTCCTCCAGAGCATCCTCCTGGACAGAGATCGACTCCATCACAAGCAGCTGTAAATCCTCTTGTTTTCGCTCTGGGTCCATCTTGAGATATTTTGAGACGTTTACCAGATGAACTCTCATTCAGCGGTACTCTCTATTGGAAAACGATTTTTGAGATAGGTGCTATATGCCTGTCAAGCTTTCTGTCCTCTCCAGCTAATTAGCTAATCAAGCTGACATGGGCTTGCGTGGTATGAATTGGTTGATGAAGCAAGTAGAGGTCATTGGAATCTGATAGTCTAAACCTGATACCACATGGGTGTATGTGCTCTAGCAGGTTGCTGGTTTGAGTCCCAGCTTGCCGAACCATAGACTGTATATGAAGATGTACGACATGACAGCTCCCAAACAGATGTTCAAGTCTGCATTTTTCCCAGTAACTTTGGTTTTAACTAGTTATATGATGATATAAAAACGTGGTGAAATGTCTGTCTTGCGATTGGTCGTATGCGTTTATCATAAGGACATTATAGCACGACTCCCTTCTATGATTGCTGCTGCACAGACTCTGGCTCTGAATGTGCAAGATGGCAGTGTTCCTATCCCCAGGATGTTTTGGCTTTATTTCTGGACAGTGGGAGGAAGTGAAGAGGCATCATCAATGTTTATATACAGTCTAAGGTCATCACAAGGACAGCGAGCCATCATGGAGAGTGTTCTTAGCTCCACAAACTATATCTTTTATAATGATCACTAGCTCAAGTCAATACACCACAAAAAAGGAACATAATAACCTTAATTATGATATGATTTATTCCCAGACTGCTGTATTAGATTGCATTGGTTTCAGCAAAGGGTGGCTAATAATCTGCCAATAAAAAGAAACAAAAAGGGAATCGGCAGAGACTGAGAAAGTAAATACAAAAGTTTTTTTTAAAAGAGCGAAACAGATACATACCATTAGATAAGGCCTGCTGAAGCTCTGAGTCTGATATCACTCCACTCCGGTCCTTGTCAACCCTGGGGAGGAAAGCACAGATTAGATAGCGCCTGTATTAACCACTTTACACACCCATGCACTCAACAGCAGCGGGCATCTGCACTCGTCAGCTGAAACTTTATCCTCCTGAGCGCGTGTTAGTATTTCAACAGTCAGCCGGGACTGAATGGAGGTCTGTGATAGAGACACACGAGGAAGCATGTGCACACGTGTCTCTCCTGGGAGCAGCCAGACAGGCTGGGTATGTGTGTGTCAAAGTGTGTGTGTTGATCCTCAGACAGCAAAGTGAAACTGAATGTTGGCTACTGTAAAGTTGTTAAGAAGGAAAACACAGAGGGACTGGTTACATTGTGTCTTTGCTCTGTCTTCACAGAAGGAGGCAAAACTATGAAAGCTCCCTTTAGTAATATGTGAAATTGCTCAACATGGCTAAACAAATAATTGACTCTTATTTGCTGTTATTTAGCTGTTACTAAATCTTATAACATTAATTGGGAGTTATGTTTATCTTGTGTTTGAATAAAAGTAGAAATGCTTTGTCATCGCCACACCAACATGTAAAAGCAAAAATATCTGAAAGTTATCATGCGGTTAATCTTTTTTTTGATTGTTGAACATTCTGAACCTAAAGACAAGTCAGATGACAATGTTTCGAGATAAGGTTTAAAAGTTTCTATCTCAGGAGTCTTTCTCTGTGTAGGAGTCTTTCTCTTTGAGGCCAAAAGAAAAACATAAACAGGTTGGACTATGACACACATAGCAGGCTTCACAGTTCTGAAATAATGTGAGCTACAGTCATGTAGCTTAGTCAAACATCCCATGAGTCAGTTGTTCCTTAGCAACCTGGTAGGCCCAACCTATCAACACAGAGCTAAATGAACAAACACACAGTGAATACCAGCAGAGGCGAAGCGGCAGAGGAGACGGGAACCCCCCCTAAGTCAAGAAGAAAAAAAAACACACACATAGGACCATTCCAGTGCCGAGTGTGTGGGCTGAGTTTCTGCTTGCAGATAATATGACATCATATCCTAATCTCTGCAGCATTCATAGATTTCTATACAGTGAACAGATATATGTCGCTGTGTGTACCCCTCTCTTTGACTTGCTCCCAGCTAAAAAAAAAAACAAACCTTACATAAGGAGACCTTGTCCGCTCCACTCTCCCTGGAGAGAAACAGCTCTCAGCAGGCCTCCATAAATGAGACCTTTGTCACAGTGGTGGTGACGAGTGGTTCAGTTAGGGCCGGGAGTGGGGTACCCAACCTTTTACAAATACTGACAGATCCACTCAAAGACATGTAGTGTGTGCAGCCCCATCACCTCTCCCTATTTCTCCCCCAGTCTTCCCGTCACTGACTCAATCACTGAGCTTCAGATCGAGTCACCTCACCAGACTTTTACATAAAAAACAAGTGGGAGGTTAAAAAAAAAAGCAGAGCAACATAAAACACTATGGCTGAGTGGGTTACTGTGCTCAGATTTTCCCATGTGTCACCGTGTCCTATTAAGCAATGAGGTTAGAATATGGTTTCTGGAACAAAACTTTCCACATAAATTGGTCCAAGAGTAAGTAAATGTCGCTGTGGCTTCAAAGTCCATATTAAAGCTGCGCTCACAAAACCTTCCATGGAAAGCCCATTGTCCAAGAGTCAGTTTCCATTGCTACTATTTCTAGTTTCTAACATTCAAATTGTGAACGTAGTCCATTTGATTGTGGTGCGCAACTTGATATTGTTCGATTGGAATTTAAGTGGACTGTTGGGCCTTGGCAGAGGTATGTGCTTTATCAAGTATTATTTGTTGTTGACTCGTGAAGGGATGGGTGCAAACATTTTTGTCATTCCAGCATCAAGCCATCAAGTCATAACAATAAATTGAAAAAAATAAACAGTCAATTCAGAAACTGACTAGCTGCAGTCTACTTTTTCCATTCCCTGTGCAAAACACTTCAGAATGAATGACTAATCTGTCAACATGTCAACATGTCCAGTCAGAAAGAAACAGACTCATGATGAGACAGGATAAACCTGAGCTGAGTGGGTTTCCAACAGCAGGACAGTGTATCACAGAATTGTAGGGGGTGTGTGCATGTGTGTGTGCGTGACACACAGACACAGAGAGGCCTCCCACGTCAACTATGCTCTATTGACTCTGGTCACATGACTGAGGGAATTCCAGCACTGCTCTGACAGATTTTCCCCAACAGGCAACGCATGAGGCAGCACAACGCTCATGTGAGAGACGACATTGTGCGAGTGTGTGTTTGTTTTGTGAGAAGCAGGGTGATGACTCTGTGTGCATGCAGATGTAATAGACATCTGTTTGTGTGGCTCTTAGTAAAGGATATGTAGGAGAGAGAGATAATATATATATATGACCTAATTTCTAAGGGGGGTTTGCACCATTCATTCATAATTCATTTAGCCTGTTTCAAAAGCCTTGCAATGCCCGCAGCATCTCAATGTTGTAAGAAAGCAAAGCGGGAGGAAGAAAAAAAAAATCCTCTGCAGTATTACATAACTGTATCGTTAACTATAGCAGGAACCAAAGCATTTCAAATGTTCCCCTCATTGCATACAACCACTGTGACCTTCTAAGATGCTGCTGACACACTTTGGACTCGGGCTGTGGTGAAATTGATCACAGTGACTGGTTGAACGCTGCCACTGAGACTAAACAGAGACAGAAAATAGCACAGGTGACAATAGATATGATCTTATTATTGAAGATCAGCTCTCTGGAATTCATCTCAGCCTGTACACTGCGTCATGTACACCTCCAACTGTCAGGTTTCTTAAGGGAACCTCATCTTGAAAGGGTTTTACTGGGCTGACATGGAGGAGAGGCGACAGTAGAAGAAATCATTAATAAATATTTCCCTTGAGTATTAACAGGAGAAATCTTGAATTGCTGCAGGGAGAGCAGGGTAAGAGGCGTTCAAGGACTCCTGGAGGTCCTTGGAGCCCAGTTTTGGAAGCTGGTGAAGAGGAGATGGTTCACTGGTTGAACAGCAACAATAAGACAAGTGAGCTAAAGTAATGCACCGATATGTAACGTGCCCTGCTGAGTGACGTGTAATGGCTGTGGGTCGCGTTGAGCACCGTGCGGCAGATGTTTCCAGGAAGCTGCGAGGAAACACGAGAGCTGACAAATCCCTCGTTTCACTGCGGAGCTCCGCTGTCACACACACACACACACACACACACACACACACACACACACACACACACACACACACACACACACACACACACACACACACACACACTGTCATCCCGCCGACACACACAGCGAAGAACAACCCGCCCTCAGCGCACTCACCTCTGGAAGATATTCCACAGGAAGCCCTGGTCCGGGGGAGCGTTGATGTGCATTGGAGCTCTGTAGGGACTGTGATACGCCATTTTTGTTCTTTAAATAAAGAGTCAGACCGACACACTGCGTCTCTCCTGCCGCTGGAGTTTGTAGTTCGAGTCCCTGAGCAGCAGCAGCAGCTTCTCTCCGCCAGCGACGCGCCCGTCCGACGTCAACCGCCCGCCTTCTCGTGCAGAGGGGCGTGGTCAATCATTCACCACTACCCTGAAGGGAAGTGACGTCACACTCTTCTCGTTCCCTGTACTTAGCGGAGTAAAAATAGAAAAGTTTATAATCATCAAAAAAGAAGTGATTGATTGATATGAATGACTTCTGCGATGACTGTACTGAATGTATTGAGACTTTTATGGCACAATTCCACATTCATTGTAAAACCCCTGGCAACAGGGAGGTGAGACACTATTCAATTCAATATTCTATACAAACAAAAGTTATCATCACCATAACAGCTTGTAACGAATTAATAATAATTAATAACTATTAAAACATTCACTAATAATAATAACTTTATTTGTAAAGTACTGTTCAAAACAAGTGCTGCAACAAAGTGCTGTACATAAAACAAAAGAATGACAGACATAAGAGAAAAAAATGACAGTGAATAAAAACAACAGGGCCAATTTATATTAAATGAATGAAACACACTGACAAAGTGAAATAAGTCATCACAACCACCATAAAATAAATAAAACTGGAATCAAGAATACAAGCAGCTTTGTTCAAATGTGTTTTAAGGAGTGTTTTAAAATGGGTGACTGATTCAGCGCATCTGATCTCCTCAGGTAACGAGTTCCAAAGTCTCGAGGCTTTGACAGAAAAAGCACAGTCACCTTTGGTTGTCAGCGTAGAGTTAGGGACAGATAAACGATATTAAATATATTTTATGTAAATATTGTTCACTTTAAGTAATCCTCATACTATATGGGTTCTTAATTTATTTTCATATTTGATTTCTTTTTTTGTTCAAATGTGAGAATGCAATAGTGAAAAAAATACAATTTACAAAAAGTACAAAAAGTAAACTGTAAAAAGAAAATCTAGAATCATTGTTTAGTGTACATTAGTGTAAATTAATCACTTCTCCAAACTTTGAAAGCATCATCTCCTGAAAACTATTTTCTAATAGTTCATGAACGCATCATCAGCTTTCACTTTCAAAATGATGAATGCCTCAATCTGATTGGTCCGCTGTGATTTGGGGCGGGGAAACTTAAGCGCACTTTCTAAACTTTTAATATTTTACATTTTAATAAATATTAAACTTTTTACATTTCCCCCTCATAGCGTCCGATATTTACAAAAACATAGGACAATGTTTTACTATCCAAACGTCCTCCACCGCCACACCGGATGTTTCTCCACAATATGGTGAGTTTTTAAAGAAGCTAGTTAGCTCGTGTGCTAGTAGCTACATAGCGAGCCTGAGGATGTGACAGAAATAATGTTTGAGCTAAAGTTCACTAAATGTCCTAAATGTGTTTGATTGTTCAGGTTAGCAGCCACCAGAGGCACCAGGGTGACTCGCAGAGAGCTTCTCAAAGTCAATGTCAAGCTAACATGGTAAGAAATAGCTAATGCCAACCTCTCTGCTTCAATAAGGTAGAGCAAATAAAAGATGCAATTGATTTTTGTGTTGTATTTCAGTAACATTAGCTAATATGTTCATTCATCACATTACTCAATATTAAAGAAAACAGAGACATGTTTGTTAATGTTCATCTTTAGCAGAGAAAGGATTTGATCTACTACATGTAATACTTTATATGCAGCTACATCCTATATTCATTTAAACATTTAGCTTTTTATGACATAGTTAATGAATTATAACGCATTTTGGTACATTTATTTTACAGCGGGGACATTTTGGGCTACGTGACGGCTCAGGTTCCTCCATCGCAGCCCAACCTGCCGAGGCCTCGCTTCTCTCTCTACCTGTCGTCCCAGCTGCAGTATGGAGTGGTGGTCGTCTACCACAGCCAGTGTGGCTTCCTGCTCGGTGAGAGAAAAAGGAGCGAGCAAGAATAGAAAGACCAGGAATAGAAAATCACTGTGAAGTCACAACTCTCCTCTAATCTACATTGTTGACACATAATATGCTGTGACTTCCTGCTGTTGTAGGTGAAAGATCAGAAAGTAAGAGCAAGAGACAAAACATAGAGACTTTTTGTGCAATATAAAACCCACATGCTTTACATTGCGGCTGTTTCCCAAATTAACCAGATACCATGTGACCCAGATTACAGTAAAGCTTTTGAAAGCTATATATATCATCGAACACAGCTCAACAGTCTCTATTCATCTTCATCCATCTGCAAAATACAAAACAACCATAATTATCAGATAATTTGGACATGAAATCAGAACACATCTGCAGTCTGCAGATCTTTGCCTAATGTAGAATAGGGTTTCATTTTCAATAAGCAATAAATAAGTTTGTGCATAACAAGAGCTTATAAATTATATCAAATGCTGAAATAGAAAATGTAATTAAAGGAACATCATTCAGTGCCTCCTCTTGTTTAGAGCGGACCTTCAATACATTTATCATGTCAGATATTTTAAACATTGACTTATATGTGATACATCTTCTTGTAATACCAAGACTTCTGTGTGAAATCCCCTTTTCCAGAGGAGGTTCAACAGACCATCGACCGCTTTCTGCGTGCTAAAAGATGCTCACGCATTGACATGGCTGAGTCTGACAGGTTTGCACACACACCAAGGGGAAAATACACAGTGGAAGGGTCTTTTGTAGCTTGGGGAATCTAAAATTTTAATCAGAACTGTGCAGATCTTGAATGTCTTTGTGGAAGATGGATATTTTTAAAAAAATATTTTTGGTAGTAACATTTCTTTATCCAACAGGCTGGCCCTGAATGTGCCTGACAGCCTGTACCTGATGGAAGAGACAGAGAGAGCTCAGGACCCCTTCTTCGGTCTCATGGAATCACACCAACTCCTCAGCCCCTATAGAATACTCCAGGTACAATTTACCATTATTTATGCACCAGTACAGCCAGACTGCATGTATAAATGTGTTTGTGGCTCTGAAGACCAGACAACAACACAGGGTGTGTGACCTAATGTCTGTAGTGTACCACAAGATCACCACCCCCACTACATATAATACATCTTTAAATGCCTCGGACAAACTGCAGATTCCAGGATTACAGTCTCACATCTGAAGAACAGTTAACTAATGAGAGAAGGCATCTTATCTAACACGATTTATGACTTTTGGCGCTTAAGCCTTTGATGACTAAAACATCAGTGAATTTGTCATGAACTACAATTGGATAACAGTAAGTAGATTACTCTGACTGTATTTAGCACACACAACATGAGCCTTCAACTCCTGTATGTGACTCACTGCTTCATTACCTCACATACACAGGTTCAGGTCACTCTCAATCTGCCATAGATGTGCATGATATCAGACTGAGTAAATCATAGCCGATCGCTTTTACTTACTCACTCAGTTCCGGCTGCTGCAGATATTGCCAACATGTCTGAACTTTGTCCTCCTTGTAATCTCTTCCTGTGGAAATACCACATGTGATTTAGATTTAGCTCAATACTAAGTGTTTCTTGAGGACAAAGAACGGTTTCGAAATGTCAGAATGATATTTACATTGCAATGGCACAATAATATATAATACACAATAATATATATATTATTGTTTACTATTATCAGAAAAGCTTCATGTTGAGATTAAATTTCCTATTCAGTATTTTAGAAATAAGGAAGTATATCAGATATTAGTAGACCTCCTATACAGTTCACCACAGAGGGCCACATGAAGTTAAAGCAAAGCAGCTTTTAGTATACGGAGGCAAAAGAAAGAAAATCTTTTACTTTTGAAATAACCCTTTAAAACTATTTGGTCATTTAACCATTTTTTTCAAGGCTCAGTTCACACTTTACAATCATAGAAAAGGAAAATAAATCAGTTTAACTGTATGAAATGTTTGTAACATTTATTTATTTGTAGACTGCGTTTACAAGTGAAGACGTGGGTTCACAGCACTCCCTGGTGCCCAGTCCCCTCACCACACTTAACAACGAGGGTAAGACATCATTTGAAACATTTTAGCTGTGTCTTATCGTGTTGGCAACTGATCATGGACTCTATGATTACAAGACTGCTTGATATACAATATGCCCACTCACATACTCTATCATGACTGGCAATAACGCTCCCTTCATCTCAATCAGACAGATTAGGTATTTTTACTTTGTGATATTGTGTTAAAATGCATGAGTTGAGGATAAAGCCAGGCCCAGAATTCATTCTCCTCTGGAATCATCATTTAAGTGCCACACATCCCTCTTTTGCTACAAACATTTGTGCCTCTGAATTCCTCCTGCTGTGTCAAACCAGGTTTCAGGTCACTCTCAGTCGCCATCACGCTGACAGAGAAGGAGCAGTTCGTCATCACTGCTGAGGTAAACTCTTTTTTCAGAGTCCAGCGACACGAAACATCACAGTCATCATTTTTAGATGTAGCAGGCATAATATGATTTCAGGTCCTCAGCAGTGAACCCACCAAGTTCAAAAACCGAAGGACATAAAGACAACAGAAATTTCTCAATTTTATCAGTAGGATGATGTAGTGTTACATTCTGCTGAGTTTTGCTGGAGGTTTGTGTTTTTCACTGCTAAAGAAATATATCTGTGAGAAACAAATGTTAAAAAAAATTCCATTAATCTTGGAAATGGTAAATGCAGTGACATTAATGGTGCAAGAGAATGTGGAAGTAAAATACCTGATGGCTAACTGGTTGTTTTGAATTCACTGCTCAGCACACACAGTGCTGAGTAGAAAGCAGAAGTACATTATCTAAGTCATATAAACACAGCTGTTTAACAACAGTAAATCTCCATACCTACGCTGCTGCACTGTCAGCCTCCTTACTGCTTCACTTAATGACTCATTACTCTCCTCCTGAAGCATCATGAGCAGATGAAGGCTGTTTTGACTTGATAAGATCTGACTTAATTACATCAGCTTCCACTCTGTTCCTTCACAGAGACATGTGGCTCACTTCTCTGCTGTCCTCTTCTGCCCTCCACTTGTCCACTTGCCCCATGGGTTTATTTTCGCTTTGCACTGAAAAAGTTATATTATCTTATACTTATATTATCCATCACTTTAGACACTAAACTGAACAAACTTTATTGCCTCGTTTTTTTTGCCTTATTCAT